GTTTACTGGCTTCACGGCGGCTAAAAGGACGTTTTAGAAATGTCCAGACAAGGCAGCGATAATAAAAAAATTAAAGAACACTTTATTTTCCAAGCAACTCGACAGCTTGCAGTGTTGAAGCAGATTTCTTCACAGTTTATCATTTAGTTTGTCTTTGTTCTGTGTTTTTTGCTGGGGTTTTTTTATGTTTTCTATATGGATCTTATATTGTGTCTGAAATAAAGTAAATGATGATTTAAAAACAGAGACTCAGTTTAAAAGAACTATCCAACAAAATTCAGTCAGGTCATCTGGACAGTTTCTTTTTTTGTTGAACGTTTTGTTCTTCATCCAAAGGACTTCATCAGTCTGAGGAGGAGAGGACAGGCACCAGAAAACCATCTTATCACCAGCAAACCGGTTGGTCCACCATGTGAGCGTTCTGCTTGTGGGACTCAGTTTGTGGTGGCTCCTCAGATTGATGAAGTCCTTTGGATGAAGGACAAAACATCTAAAAAAATAAAAGTCCAGATGACCTGACTGAACTTCGTTGGATTTTCTACCTGGATTACTGAGCATGAACTTTGGTGTTTTGAACCACTTTGGCTATGGCTGCCTCAGAGGAGTCAACAGGGCACCAGCCCAGAAACCATCTTATCACCAGCAAACTGGTAGGTCCATCATGTGAGCGTTCTGCTTGAGGGACTCAGTTTGTGGTGGCTCCTCAGACTGATGAAGTCCTTTGGATGAAGGACGAAACATCTCAACAACAACAAAAAAAGAATGTCCAGATGACCTGACTGAACTTTGTTGGACTTTCTACCTGGATTATTGAGCATGAACTTTGATATCCCAACAATAATAAACCTCTTTACATCTTTAGTATTTGCCATAATTTATTTAGTTATTGCTTCTAATGGAAATCCTTGTGGGTCAGTTTAAATGTGCTAAAAATAAAATTTTCATGTGAGATCTTGCCTCAAATGTTCTTTGGGTTGTTTGAACAGATGTTTCCAAAGTTCGGGGCTCAAATCCAAAATAAATGTGCTTCTTTTCTTCTTCTGGTTTTCATGATAATTGTAAATTTCTAGCGCCATCTTGTGGACAAACATCACAATTTACATTTTACTGTTAACTTGAACTGTTAAACACGCACACAAAAATAAATAAAATAAATAAAAATGCAGCTGTGTAAAAGTGCAGCTTTTAAAATAGTAAGGGAGTTGCTATGTGTGCAGGAGAGAAAGGAGCAAATAATAATTTAAAATGTCTGAAATGCCTAAAAAATAAGTAAAAATCTTAAAGGTTAGAAAACATTTGAGAGTCTTTGAGTTCCTGCGGACTATCCTGAACTTAAAGTGTTCTTCAAAAAGATTGTTTATGGTTGTTATTTATGAAACATTTTGCAGGCTACTGTTTCTGAAAAAGTGCCTAAAAGTTAAATAAAGAGAGAAAAAAAAAAGGTTTCTATTTTTAAAACATGTTATTTTGTTCTTAAACTAGTTTAAAGTGAATTAACACTAACACAAATTAAATAAATCAAATTTGTAATTCAGTCATAATTTATTATAGAAAAATTATAATTTTATTCTTGACTTAAACAGATGATTTGTTTTTGTTGGGGTTTTATTTAGTGACAGTTTTAATGGTTTGTAAAAGACAAAAGTGAGACATACTCTTACAGCTGCTTTGAGTTTTATTGTTGAATTGTTCTGCATTTTAAATCACTTCTTTAAGCTTCATTCTAGTTTATCATTTGATATTTTCCATCTTTGTGACTGTTGTGTGTAGAAATCCTTTATGTAAAAAGGCAGTAAAAGAATGTGATAATTTACTTCTGAGCACTATGAAGCAGAAAAGTCAAATTATTGTGTAAATGCACCTTTTTTTTTGCACCCATTGAAACTTTTGAGACCAACATTTGTTTTACTTCAAGTTTCGCTTGATTGTTTTGTTGTTAAAAAAAACAAAAAAAAAAAAACACTTATTGGACATAAAACCTCAGACTTCCTGTTTATGTTTGGGGAAAAGATGTATGCTTTAAACAAACATTCCTGACCACATTAAAAATTGAAAATATATAAAAACACAGCACAGATTCCTGCAGGATGTGAAGACATTAGTTCTCATAAGCTGAGTCTTTTTTATTTTTAACTGAAAAAAAATGTTAAGAATAAATTGTTGCTTTAGAGCTTTAAGTCCCAATTCTGAATCTCTCACTGTGAAAAATGTGTAAACTTTAATCAATCAAATCAATAATGTCTCAATGGTTTCTTCTCACGGTGAAGTGACAGTTGTATTTATGTGAGAAGCCTTTAAAATGTGCTTTTTAATTACATTAATGATCCTTTAAAACTCTCATGTTTTTAGTTTTAAGTCTTCGTGTTTTGCAGAAGACTCAGATAAAATACAACTTCTATTGTTTGGATTTATTTTTTTAATAAACTCCTATTTCTGCCACATCTCAGAACATAAACCTGAAAATGTTAATAAAGAAAAAAAAAAGATGAAAAAACAATCAGGTAGCGTTGTAGACGTTTGCTTGTCCGTGAAAATGTTTTGAATGTGTAAAAAAAAAATTTAAACTGGAGTCTAAATATTGGTCTTAAAACATTTGATGAACATCTATCGTAAAGTTATATATTAATATTGTTGAATTTTATTTTAATAATAAAGGAGTCATTCTGTGTTTACAGCAAAGCAGTTAAAATGACTTGAATGCACATCTTCAAGCACAAATGAGGCTAAAGAAAATTAATTATTCAAAATCAATTTGCACTTTGACTCATTTTTTCCCATTTTTTTTAGTTTAAAACACATGAAACTTAAATTTTCTTTAAACTAATATTTTAACATTTATAACTTTGAATGTTTTTTAGTTTTTTTTTCCACAGTAATGCAGACAATTGTGAAATCAGTCACTCAACCTGTCAATTATGAAATATGGGCTCTGGTTTAAATGGAAACTAGCCTAAAATAAAAATTTGTTTCCATTTGGTCAAACATTGCCCACTATATATTTGATGACAAAAATGAACTCAGATACAGACAAGGCACAAAAAATATTACAAACAAAATTGAAATTCAGCAGATGTTAATAAAAATAAATAAAAAATCAAGGCTGATCAATATGTAGCAGTCAGCTATTAAAAAAAAAAAACATTTACAATAGCTTGTGTAAATGTATGTAGCATTAAAGTAAATTTTATATAAATTGCCTGATTATGTGGGTGTAATGAATTTGAAAAATCATAATAAAAATGATCAACAGCTGACTTTTATGTTTTAAATTTTGTCATAGCACAGAATTCATCCAACAAACTCAACAACAGCCCGCTATCCAGAATAATATTTATTGCTTCTGAAGATATTAATCTTTTTCTTCAATTTGCACTTTCCATTTTTCCTCTGTACAGTAAAACAAGGAGATGACAGGTCAACTCGCTGCATCTTCAGTGTCGGGTGTTTACACTCACATACAGAAAAGGAACGAGTATTTACAGCCTTAGTGGGAAACGTCACACGTGAGCGACTGCTGAGCTTTCCTGTAAACAACTCAACAAACATAGAGCTTTACAATAAGTTTACAATAGAGCTTTTAAAAAAATAATAATAAAATCCACCACCGTTCAACAAACCAAAAGCTGCAAAACCTTAAAAACTGCACAACAGTGTTCACTTGGTGGGCTGTGGAAAAATGTGGCTCATTAAATTTGTGGAGGAGAAATAAACAGATTTTCCAAATATTTTCCCCTCCACTCTTTAACATCTTGAAGCAAATGAAGCTGCAACGTCGCTACAGGCAGCAGTGACGAAATGCATTGATTCAAAAGTAATCAAAACTGGTTTAAAGGGGAGGATTTAAAAATCAAAATGCAAAGACCAGTAATATTCACATTTGACTAATTACAGTATGGTCACACTGGGTGAATGCACAAGTTTATCAGCATTATTTTTAGAAACCAAAAGGTTTGTTCTTTGGGCATGTGATTAAAAAAGAAAAAGATTATTAAAAAAGGGCAAATTTAACCAGGTTTGATTTAATCCAAAACAATTTTCAAAATGAACTTCGCTCCCATTAAAGAAAAAACCTTCAGGGTGCAGATGCTTTTCCATTAATAATTTAAACTCTGATACACCTAAGCTTATAATCTCTCGACATGTTTAAATACTGAATAAAATCACAACAATACAGCTTCATCTTATCATAGCGAATAATAATGAAATATCATGTACACCATAATAAAAATATATACACAGAAATATTCATACAAATTCAAAATTGGTCCAGCTCTTTTGGCTCTCTTTTTCATTCCTTTTAAAAATACTAACTAAAAAAACATAAACTGATACATTTACAACTTAGAAAAATTTTAATTTTAGCATTTAAATTAAGAAATAGTCAATAAATCTATGCTTACAATTACAAAAGTCTTGGGAAAAGCAGTTTTAGACGATAGGGAGGATTTGACTGAGGCGATGACAAAAATAACCACTAGGTGGCAGTATTGGACAATCTGTCAAAATCTTTGTTTTTCAAGTTATTTAAAAAAATCTAAATCTGAAGAATTACAATAAATGTGTGGAATTTGATCAATTCGAGCTTCACTTGTTCTTTTCTATTAATAATTATGTTGTTTGGTAATGTTTATCAATGCATTCATTGCTTTATGAGCAGCAAGTGACGGCAAATTAAATAATTCTGCTGGTAAGTGAGGCAAAAATTTATTTCAAAATGTATTTAAAATAAATAAATTTGATGATACAGACAACTGACACCTTAGATTTTGATTACCCAACTCATTGTAAACTGGACGAGACAGCTGTAATGTAAATGCCGGCAAACAAACGGGGGAGCAGTATTTTCAGAAGTAGATGTGCTTTCTTGGGAAAAATGTGCATCTTGAGCGACTGAAAATGAGATAATTTAAATCATAAAAGGTGCATAAAAAATGTCAGGACAGAAGAAGAGATTTCTCGGAGCGCAGACTGTTGAGATGACGGACACGTCAGGAAAAGTCTTAGCTGTGGATCATTTTCAGAGTCTCTGCCTCCCTGTGTCTGTCATGCAGAGCCATGGAAGGGGAGAGAGACGGAGGCAAAGATGGGGGCGGAGGAGTGATTGGCATCAGGCTCTTCAGGGGATGGGGGGACACTGGTGGGGGGAGCGAGGAGATGGGGGGCAGCATGCTCCCCTTCTTTCCATCCAGCACGAGTTGCGGTCGGTTCACCAGGCCGGACCCCTTCCCAATGCCGAATTCGTGCTCGTTCTCGTTTTCCGAGCTGCAGTCGCTCAGATCCGTTATCTCCAGATCAGAGTCTGACTCCGGGTCCTGCTTCACGCCCCCTCTCCTCTCCGAGGGGCTCTGCTGGCCAGTCCCTGTCCCAGCTCCGAGGCTGACGGCTCCCAGCCCCAGACTCAGCCCCGTGCCAGGGGGGTTGGCCTCCACCCGCTCCCTTTCCCCCAGAGTTGCCCCGTTCGCGATTTCTGTCCGTCCCAGCATCAGGCTGCCTGGATAGGGCGGCAGGCAGAGTCGGGTTGGCTGACCACCCGCTGTGCCGTTTGTCCCACCGGTTTGCCCCCTCTCACCCCCCCCAACCTCACCAGGGGGGAGCAGTGAGGAGAAGGGGTGAGGCAGCTGGGATAGGCTGCTCTGCAAAGGGTTGGGGTAAAATTGGGAGGGGTAGAGGGAGCCAGGGGGCAGTTTGGGGCAGTTATTGAGAGAGAAGGCCCCTGGGAGGTAGGGGTTGAAGCCCCAGGGGTAGTCGAAGGGTGGGTTGCGAGGGTACGGGCCCAGCAGGGATGGGGGCTTGGAATAGCACGGGGCACCTGCAGGAGAGAAGATCCAGAGATGGAGGTTAACTCTCAGAGGGGGCAAAGGTTTCCTGACATACAAGATCCAAGAGTGTTCACTAATTATAGTCAATATTTGCAATTCAAATCAGGCGCCACGGGGGCTCATTCTGGCATGGTTGCTTTCAACACAAAAACCTGGCGGTTCATTTCTGCATGCCAGAACTGTGTTCCCGCTGCCGCAACACAGACGTGAGCGCAACGATTCTGCACTGCAGTAAAATGTCATTAAGTTTAAATCACGCAACAAATTGTTCCTGTGTTGCAAAAATATACATATAAAAAAATAAAATTAACAGGGAAGACATGTAAGTTGAAATGTTATGGCACATCCTAACTGTGGACAAATCTAGCTTCTGCCAAGGCATCATTTTAGATACGGCAAGCGTGTTCATTTAGGCAGATGAAGAGTCGCCCTCTGCATTTTAATTTGCAAGCATCAGTTCATAACACAAAGCAGGGGTAAGTCTGGAGTGATGCTGAAATCCAAATTTAATGAACAAACAAAAGAATTGCCTCTGAACCAACTCGACTTCCTTCCAAATGACAACAGACTCAGAGATTCTGTCTTTGCTGCAGCCTCCACCTCTCCCGGTCTCACTCCTTCCCTCTTTCGCTCTGTTATTTACTATGCAGGGCTAATTTGACAGCGCTGAAATCTGTGCGTGCTGGGCCAGGAGTAGCTGGCAGACACATGAATATTGAATCAGTCAGGCAGGCCTCACTTGCTTATGAAAACACAGTAATGGGCGCCCACAGGCCACAAACTGAAGCCTGCACCCTCAATTAGGGCCTTCCTGCCTGGGAAGGGATTAGGACAGCAGGGACACATGGGAGGGGGGGAGGGGGGTGAGAAGGGAAGAAGGGGGGAATAGGACCTGAGGACAAACAGAGTGGGGAGGAGGGAGAAGAGGTGTGTGCATGTGTCTGTGTGTGTGTGTGCATCTGTTTACTGGAGCTCTGCAGATTTGTGTGCATTCTGATGCACGCAGGAGCAGCTCTGCCAGCCGAGCACGGCTCCACACTGTCCATGCACGTGTGCTGAGACAGGGGAGGACAAATGTGAACAATCAAGCCAAAAAGGTGGATGGTTTCTCTAGCCTTCGACTTGTTCCTTACCGCTGCTCGCCTGCATAATTCACAAGCTAACCTGGTTTCTCTCACCTGAAGGGCAGCCTCTCTGCCGGCTACTGTGGGACAGCTTTCTTTCTTATTTCCTTTAACAATAAATGTTCATGCCTCCCCATATCCTCGTTCCTGTCTCAACTCTCCTTTTCCTCTACATCCACCTCCAACTTCTGTTAAGTCTTTTTTTTTCTTCTTCTTCTTCTGCCAAAACAACTTCAACCTACACCATTTTTGTTCTCCTCGAGCCTCTTGAGATGCTGGACGATTAGAGGCATAAACGTCTTTCATTCCTTCGGCTCACCTGAACTGAGGAAGGGGAACGCGTCCAGTCTCAGTTTGTCTCCTTCGGGTGCCGCCGCTGCAGAGCCTCGATCAAACAGCGACGTTCCTCTGCCAGTTTCGGGCAAACGAGGAAACAGCGACTGTATGGCCTGAGTGGCGGAGGAGAAAAGAGAAAGGCAAAAAAACATTTAATATTTTGCTCCACAAAACTATGCATGTAGCGTGAAGGGTGAAGTCAGACGTTGGCGGCACCCTGCCGAGCGTGATGCAAACAGTCACAGTCGCAGCAAGGGCAGAATGAAAGAGAAGCCATGGGACAAGGAGGGAGGTAGAAGGACGAAGAGGCTCAGACACTCAAAGGCAGGAAAGTACACAGTCAAATGGAGACTGGCGATTAGGATTGTGGGCACAAAGGAGAGTTGACAAGAAGAAAGAGGGATTGCGGGGCCAGATGAAAGAAACGCAGGACAAATAGAAGGGGGATGTGATAAACTGACAACTATTCGGAAAGTAGGGCAGCTGTGTGCGCTTGCGAGTGCATTTTTTCTCAGTTTAAAATATGTGACAAACTCGGAGACGAGTTAAAGTAAGTGCAACAGTCAAACCTTGAAAATCAAAGGGACAAAGGTGGGATTTTTCTCTCTCCCTTCGCATGGATCAATAGTCTCTGTCACCACGGCAGCCCTTATAAGTTTGAAAGTTGAGACTGTACTTCCAAGCTGCGAGATCTGCGTTGCTTAACAAACCGCATTAATGACCCCACTATTGATCTGATCTGACACGACCCCTTTGCTTTCTGTGCCTTTCATTTTCAATCAATGACAGATGGATACGCCATCGGAGACAAGGATGAGAGAAGGAGGGGGATAACGTCTTCTTTTGTTTTAAGACCGTCCTCCCACTTGGTCTCCTTCAGAACCTGCATCTTCTTATCCCGTCTGAAGGGTGGTGCAGACAAATGAGAGATGATTCTCCCTTCACACTGTATCCACAAGTTACCTGCACGTTCTCGCACGTGAGACAAAAATATGTGCACACCAACACACACTCAAGTCTTAAAACCTCCATTCTTGAACAGCTTATTTGAAAACTTTGGAATTGAAAGTAGAATTTTGAACATTTTTCTCCAAATTCTTAACAATTTATAAGCGATCTAAGTATTTTTGTTCCACATTAGAAGATTTTTTTATTCATTCTTTGTTTTTAAAAAATGCATTTGTGCAAAAATTTTATGATAAAATAAGGCTCACCTTATAGATGGCTAATAAACAGTTTATAGATACATTATTAATTCCTCTATAAACACTTTATAAATCATAAATAATTGTTTATTATGCATTAATTAAGGGTGACAGAGACAAAACTGAGCCATTTCTTGCCAAATAGTGAGTCAAATCTGTTCACCTATATATTTCATCTATAGTTGTTATATTAAACATTTCAGACTAAGTTACTTCCTTGTAAGCACAATAAGCATTTGTAAACCTACTTAGACAAAAATATGTGCACACCAACACACTCAAGTCTTAAAACCTCCATTCTTACAGCTTAATTGAAAACTTTGGAATTGAAAGTAGAATTTTAAACATTTTTCTCCAAATTCTTAATAATTTATAATATATGAAAGTATTTTTAGTCCATATTAGAAGATTTATTTTGATCATTGTGTGTTGTGAAAAAAATGTACTTATGTAAAAATGTTATGGTACCCCTTTGCAATAAGGCTCCCCTATACATGGCTAATAAATAATTTATAGCTATGTTATTAGTTACTCTATAAACACTTTATAAATTATTAATAATTGTTTATTATGCATTAATTAAGGGTGACAGAGAGACAAAACTGAACAGTTTACCAAATAGTGAGCCAAATCTGTTCACCTATAATCTAGAGATGCTATATTACCGTATTTTTCAGCTTGTAAGGCGCAATATCAATGAACGGTTTTGTTTTGATATATAAGGCGCACCAGATTATAAGGCAGATTAAAACAAAACAGTCAGATAAGTCAAACTTTATTCAACTCATTCGCCACATAAAATTGGTTTGAGGTCAGTAAGCACAACCAGAGCTAATACATAAGGTGCACCTGATTATAAAGCTCACTGTTGATTTTTGAAAAAAATTAGAGGATTTTAAGTGCAACTTATAGTCTGAAAAATACAGTAAACATTTCAGACTAAATTACTACCTTGTAAAGCACAAGTATTTGTAAACCTATTTTTTTAGGATACAATATTAGTTCCAGATACTTATAATGCAGTGATAACGTACAATAGTCTAAAAAAATATGTCTACAAATGCTTATTGTGCCTACAAGGTAGTAACAGTCTGAAATGTTTAATTTAACAACTCGAGATGAAATATATAGGTGTCAGATTTGGCTCATTTGACAAGAGCTTTGTCTCTCTGTCGCCCTTAATTAATGCATAATAAGTAGTTACTAAAGTGTTTATAGAGGAATTAATAATGTATCTATAAACTATTTATTAGCCATCTATAAGGGGAGTCTTATTGTAAAGAGGTACCAATTTTACAATCTCTCAGGGCAAAGTGAACTGTAAGCTGTTAGGACAACAATTGGAGACAATAAATAAAAGATGGCAATGATGTATACCACTATTTTCTTGTTTTTAAAAATGCGGAGGGATTGCACAGGAGGGGTCTGGGAAATAAATCAGAAAAAAAAAAATCACAGGAGGAAAGTGGATTTCAGTAACCTGAATGAAATTGCTGCTAATCAAAAATTAAAGAGCACAGAGAGGTGCTACTCTGTTTGTACAGTTTTTTTTTTTGGTTTGTTTGCACCAGACTTCATTGTTTTTTTTTAATTTCCTGTTCATAATTTCAATTTTATCTTCTTATTTTTAGAGAACTGGAACATATGCATTCATAAATTTGACTAAAACATCAACAAACACAAGTATATTATTTCCCAAATATCTTCTCATTCTTACATTTCGTACCTCTGGGCTGCAGTCTGGTGTGGCGGAGCCCCCGTTAAAGTGGTTCTGAGCCAGAAAGAAGGGAGAGTTGGCCATGTCCAGGATGGGATAGTTCACCAGCACCACCTTGCTGAAGTTAAACTTGTACGTGAAACGCTTCCCTTTTGTTTTGTGCAAAATCCGCTTGTTGTAGTAATACCTGCATGAAGGAAGGGAAGGAGGAGAGGGTATTGATGGAGGGATGGAGAGATGTGGTAAAGGATAAAAGGAAAAGGGAAAGGGCAGGGAAGGATTAATTTAATGCTCGCATCAAGGTTTTGTGTTTCCTCACTGTAAGAGAAGAAAAGAACTTCAGCGATGTGAGGCAAAGAGCTCTGCTGATTTCCCACTGTTTTTTATTCATCTCCCTTCTCAAATCAATTTACGCCTTACTGCTTTTATTCAATACAATGACTTTTATTAAGGAAAAATCTGACTCGGTCATTAACTGAGGAAAAAATAAAATCAAAAGTTAAATCTTTTTGAACTCTTAACATACACAAAAAACTTTTTTTTTTTCTTCCAGTGAGCACTAGACCAGTTTGTTTTATTAAAACGATAATCTTGATTAAATATGATATGAGCTTTGGAATAACAAGAAAATTAACCAAAATAGTGTTTAAAAAAATGACAAAACAGGAACTTTTGTAGCGATTTCAAACTGTTTTAACCAATATAGGAATATAGGAATATAAAACAGATACGATAAAACAGATCATTTAGGATTTCTTTCTTCAAAGGATGTCGTTCAGTTTGAATAATCAGCAGCAGTTTGCTCTATGAAACTCTGACACGGCACCGAAAAGCTGTTGCCATTCGCAGCCGCGTGACACATTTACAGGGAGGTGGCGCAACAACGGTGGTCTCCATGGTGACGACCTTCGGTCTCTCCCGCTGGGCATGTCGAGCCGTCGCCGTGCCAGTTTCCTCTGCCACCCACCGAGGTGTCATGGAGCGTGGCGTGCCAGGATGCCGGGTGGATCGACGGCAGGGAGGAAAAAATAAATAATCATGGAGCCATCTGGCTCAGGTGAAGGAGCTGAGGGCTCAGGCGGGAGCAGCATGGGGGGTCAAAGTAGGTGAAAAAACAGCCGCGGATGTGTCACCACGAGAAACAAACAAATCTCAACGATATTTTCTTCCTGCTTTTGTTTTGTCCCATAGTGAGAACGCCTTACACAACCTCAGCATTAAACACTGGCGAGCAGCTCCTTATTATGCGCTGTATGAGCAAACAGCCGAACGTTCACATCAGCATGAATTCACAGAGGCTGAACCCGGCGCAGTGATGTGTACATGTTTTGCTTTGCATGGCAATTGTGCCTTGGCCCCTAATTGAGCAATTAAGTGAGGCTAATTAAGAAGGCTAATTGTGGCCCCAGCCAATTCATAACAATTAGACTCTGACGACAGCCCCCATTAACAAGAGGCCAAAGGAAAGCAGAGGGAGGGGGGGGGGGGGGGCTTGTTGGGGTAGTGGGTATTTGCATAATAAAATTGTGAGGTTGATTTGGGGGTGTACGCTGCCGAATTTATAGAGTATTGGTTTGATTCGTCTTCCAAAAGTTTGGCGCTGAGCACTTTCTCTATTCTGGAGAAGCAATTTTACAGCGAGGCTTAATTTTCAAATCCCTATTGAATTTTTTATTTGGCAGCTCAATGGTGAACTTTCCATTAGGACGTCAACAGATAAGCAGAAATTGAGGGTATTGACGTTCCGCCTGGAAAAGACTCGCCTTTATCTTTCCATTTTTACCGACATGAAACAGAAGAGATGTTAGGGGAGGATTAAACCCCAGCACGAGTAAACAAATAATGCAAACACCGTGACTTATCTGATCCAAACGTTCACCTCAGAGCCCTGCTCAGCTTGTCGTAGTTCATGTGAGGTTTGCACTTCCTTATCCCCCACAGTCGGGCCACTTCGTCTGGGTCCTTGATGACGAACTCCCCGTAGTCCCCCTGCCAGGCGATCACACCCTGATACTCCTCCTTCTGCAGCAACTCCAGGATGAAATGCCACAGCTGGATCTGCCTGGAGCCCGGGCTCGACTCGGGCTTGTAGGCCCAGTCCGGGAAGGCGAACCCTGGTGAAGAGAGAGAAGGGAGAGGGGTGAGGTTAAGACCTGTCGTTTGTCCTGCTGCTCGCTAGGGGGGGATTGCTGTCTGGATGACTGATGAGTGATGGACTTGAGGGATGATGTGTTTAATATCACAGCACGGGCCTTGAGCAATGTTAGTCTGCGCTAATGCCCTCTAGCCTCAACAGATT